TCCTGCTGCTACCTGGCATCTGTGATTCCCCTCCACACACAGGTGGGGAGGTGGACTACCCACCATTTAAGTGCTTTGGGTTTTCTTTTATTTTTATGTGATGTGTTTATTGCCCCTTATAGTTAGGGGGAAAAGGGAAATTCAAATCTATTCTATCGCAAGCGTGAGGGAGGATCTAGCCTGTTTTGTCTGTGAGTGAACAGGGATGGGATCTAGTAGTAAAAACTAGCATTGGAGTGAGTTCTTCTCACAGTAAATCTGATTAGAAGCTTTAAAATGGAACAGCCTGAAGACCAGGAATTATAGTTCTCTCTCAAATATTTCTGCTGTAACTAGTAACTGTATTGCTGACCCCAGGGGATCTTGCATTTGCTGCAGGCTGAGCCTTGTAGGCAGTTTGTTGCTGAACTAAGCCCTTTAAATAGACAGCAAGTTTAAAAAAGTACGTCCTGCAATTTTTGTGCTGATGAATTTAGAATGATGTTCTAGCAAGCTCAGTACACTCCAAATTAATTAGCAAGGATCCTTTTAACAGGATAATTACTATAGCAGCAGGTGGTAAACTCAAAATGAATGTCAGTAGTCCTGGCTTGCATCAACAAGGAAGAGATGTGTTGCAGTTCTACCAACTGATTCTAAATTCACCCTAGTGTGAAAGGTTTTAGATAGTGCAGCTGGTCAGCAGCAGCCCTCTTGCTTTTTACTTCTAGACTTGAATTAAAATCTCAAATGAAGCTGCATTTCACTCTCCATATGTCTACCTCACAATGCCATGGCAAATGATGATTGGCTTTTTTTAATTTCTGCTGGAAAAAGGCCCAAAATAAGAAAAGCAGGAGGTGTTGCACATTATTATTAAAGCATAAATGTTGGAAATGGCTATGAAGTATATAGGACTTCCTTCCTTCTTTATGGCTGTGCATTTTCTTCTTTCATAATGGAAGGGCCTGATCCTGCATGGAACAGTAATGGCTCACAAGTATAAACACAGGTTCACATGTTTGGGGGTTGGGATTTTTAAATAGGCTAATCTTTCAAAAAATAAACATGTCACTGCTTATCAAGGTGTGGATAAATAATCATGTGACCGCTGCAGTGGTGGTAAAAACACTTTCATGCACTTCCAGACCAGATTCTGTCTTTAGATAGTGGAGGCTTTAGGAAATAAGGTTTAACTGGGAATTCTTAATAAGGGAAGTTACCTTAATTAGGTCACTTTATATTTGCTAGATTTTCTTATATATGCTTTTCTGCACTGTTTTAGAATGGATGCAGACATTTGTAAAAGTACCTGCCACTTTCTGTGAGAATACAATTTTTAGGCAGACTTTCAAAAATGACTTATCTTACTTTCAGCTTCTGTAATCTAAGCTCAGCAAAGTCAATGGTCTTACACTGATATAAAGTCTGTTCTTGGGAGAAATTAATCAGGCCCGATGTTGTTCTCTCCAAATGTCAAAGTAGTGAATGAATAATTATTAGCCTTTTCTTAAAAGTGGATCTTGACACTCAACAGACCAGATAATTTCTCAAGTTATTTCATGGGACCTTGTGGTGCTTTATAAAATGTGAAGCACAAGCCTGAATCTTTCTGTCTACATTGTCTTGTCAAACTTCAGCAGTACCATTTTCTTTCTAGTTAGATTGTATGTCTTAGGCCACTTCTAAAAATAATATAAAATTGAGACATTTTTAAAAACTTGTCACAACTGCCAGCACAGGTTTGGGGGGGGGGGGGGGGGGAAGTCTTTACAAATATTTTGGGGTGGGGTTTTTTGTGTTCTAACTGGTAGAAATAGAAAGGCAAGCACCTCTGTAGAAAATGCCTGTGACAAATGCAGTTGTCTTCTAATGATCTGTGGGTCTGCTTTTTTTTTTTTTGGTTTGTTTGTTTTCATTTGTAAGTTTAAGTTATTGAGACAATGCAGGTCCCAAGAGACAGTTTTGTTTATGCAGTTTCATGGCGTTGCATAGTTTTTTAACAGAATCCATCCAAGGATGAGGTAACATTTGAACAAGATTTTCTTAAATTTCTTGAATGAAAAATGTTTAGATGTCACAGTAACAGTAGAAATCTGTCATTCCCCTTCACGTGTATGTCTGCACAGTTGTCACTGCTGAAGTTGCTCCCATATACAGTGGACATATCGTTCATCACACTCTAGTTATAGCCTGACCATTCAAGTAAAGCTAAATGCTTCTGTACTTCCCATAATGGATAGGCTTGTCCTTCTATATGAATACATGTGAGTACATATGTTAGCACAGTATCACCAAAGGTAATAACCAACTTTGTTAGAGTGCCAAACCTTTCTTGCTACTACAAACTATGGCTACAAAATCCCTGTGGATACTATAATAGGGAACTAGTCAAAACCCAGCATACAAGTGGATACAAAAACGTCCCATTTCCATGACTTTGCTTCAGAAGTTTCTCCTACAATTTAGAAGAAATTCTTGATCTCTTGGCAGAAGAGATACTTAGGCACTCACTCAAGGTGTGCTTGATCACAGAAACAGGCTAAGCTCTGAAGAAGAAGCTGTGGGAAGTGCAACCTCTTTCAAGTCAGTAATGGCTCACTGATCTTATGGAGCTTAGGATTCCTCTTTTGGAGGAAAAGTAACGAACTCTTTCATTTCGGTATCTTGGTCAGCGGTAGCATGAGTACTGGCTTCATAAGGCTCACATGGACAACAGCTGACTTCTCCTTTCCTGCTCTTCTGCAGAATGGTAGCACGAAAGTCTAAGGTTATCACTGCCAAACGATACAATTGCAGAGTCACAACTAAGATATTCTTAGCTGTAAAAAACACCAGCATCTGATTGAATATTCTGAAGTGGCCCATCAGGATTGAACGCACAATGAAGAAGGGACCATCCTGTATGAAAAGGCTGACCCCAATGTTCCACAGTTCGGCGCTGTACCTGCACAGCAGCAGGCTGGGGATCCGCCTAGTCGATGCAGTTGGTTTGCAGCCAATATGCTGTACTGGAAAGAAAACACAGTTATATTAAAACAACTCTAAAATTGAGCCAGGATTGGCCTAAAGGGCAGTTACAATCCAGGGTACCCTGGATTATAAATGCACTCAACTGTGAACAATTCAATATCAAGCAGATCGTATTTCTGAGATCTGTTTCAGCAAAACACACTAAGCTCATGTTAAGTAAGCACTTACGTGGTCTGCCAAATAGGACCAAAACCCACTTCTCCTTTTCCATCCTACAAAGTTATCAGTATTTATACACTTTCAAAACAAGAAGCGGATCACTTAATCTTTCTGCAATGACTTGCCCAAACACTTTTCTGTTAAATCAACATGCTAGGCTAATATGTAGCTTTAAGGAGAAAAAAACCCTACCTATATGCTGAATGGGAACAGCCTGAGCTGTAGCACTTCGATTTGTTCCAGGCTAAGACCTTGCTGTTAAAAGATTCACCAGATAGCCATTGCCTTTTTCAAGTGCCATAGTAAGAATAAGTCATGTCAGTGTGGGACAATATAGAGGATTATGGATAGGAAGAAACTGCAGTTGCTGCTTGCCAGATGAGACCTGAGCCCCAGGTACTTGTTCTTAGCCTTCTGGGTATGAAATTGCATGCAACTGTTGGAACGTGCATGGATGTGTTCCCCTTGGCTACAAAAGTGGTGGTGGGCTAGAATGCTCTTTGTGGCATGGTGTCTGGAGAAGGATCATCAGAAGGGTTTGTGTGCAGTCAATATGGCTGTGTCTTTTATGAAAATACATGTAGCTTAACTAACCTGTCTTTCAGGCAGTGGGATTTCATTAGTTTAAAAAACATAGCTACTTGTGATGCAGTGACGACCAAACGTTTCAGCTTATCAAAAGAATTCAATAGAGTCAATGCTGGGGAAAAAAAAAGATGAGACTTGAGTGAAAAATGAGTTGTAGAATTTAGAAATTTGCTGAATCCATTAGGCAAAGCTTCAGCAGCAGCTAATTTTTTTTAATACACTTTTGTGCCATTGCTGTTTAATAGTCCTAACTGCATTGCTGTAGTCCAATAATAAGTGCCTAAAATGTTCTATTTTACATCATGTTTGATAGGTGAGTAAACAGTATGATGCTTGAATAGAAAGTACTATCTGTGCAACTGCATAGTAAATTTCAGGGCAATGTGTATTCAAGAACTTATTTTTTAACTGGTAGATGTAATTAAATAAGCAGAAAAGGAATAGCCAGAGAAAAAAGGCACACTACAACAGGTTACTTCATTTAAACTAATGCTGTGATTGTTTAAGCCTGTTTGGGGTATGGTGATGTGTATGGGGGGAGGAGGAGATTGTTGATGGCTTTTTAGTTTTGGTTTGGTTTTTTGTTGTTTTTTTTTTTTAAACCTGAGTGTTGTGCATCTTTAACAGAATATATTTTAACAGTAACAGGAATTTTAGCTGTGATAAATCTGAAATGTGGTTGCATCAGTTTTTTTCAGGAGGTGAGCTGCTGAGCTGAAATGCTGAAATATTTTCATAACTTCAGTGCTGAAAACAAAGCCTAGCGCTGTCCATGAAGAAAGGGTAATGAAAAATTCCTGGATTCATTATTCATTATTTTATTCATTTATTATTTTATTCAGTGTGTCAACCTAGTCATCAATTTTATATAAGATTCTGGTGAGCATAATGTATCTTTGGACTGGTATAGTTGAGTTGCAAACTTGTAGTGATTGGAGGCCAAAATGGTTGGAACAGATGATGATGGAAGCAACTTTCATCATTCTTCTTGGCCATAGAGAAGTTCTTTCTGCCTAGGGACAAATACAAGCCTGAACTGGCTGAATGTTGGGTCTTTTAGTTTAAGGTAAGGGTATACAGTCCCAGCATTATATGGTCCTTTAGGTTCCCTGTGACTAAGTAATTTTTCCTGTAATAACCTCTTCTGTGCTCTTGGCTGTGCCATTCCCTGTGGCTAATGACAGAGCCTGTGTCTCCATAGTATCTATAACCTACCCAGATTGGACCCAGAATATAATCCAAGACCAGATCTAACTGGAGAGCTCGCAGAGTGAAGTTTAAGGCAGTACTGGGCAACTACAGCAGATGCTTCAATACAATACTGCAATTCCATTTTTTTCCTGGAAGCAAATAGTTTTATCAGGGAGATTAGAGGTTAGCCAGAAACAATGTTTCCTCAAAAGAAACCACAACAGACTTTCTTCAAAAACAATCATTGTCATATGAATTGCTCTCCACCAGAAGTCCTTGGTATAGCCTGTAGCGTGTGTGCAGCCACAAGACATGCCAGCAAAAACTTAAAGCATTTGTTCTCTTTTCTTGTTTATATGCAAGTACTAACCTGCAAGATCAAGCGGAAACTGTAACATACTCCAGGTCCATACAGCAAGAATTGCATTTATGAGAGCATAATTCTTCCTATGGGAGGGGGGAAAAAGTGATAACAATGAAGATGCAATTTCCTTATGTGATAACCAAAATGTTTCCTGTAGTATTTGGAATGTCATTTAAAGGGTGATTGAGCAAAACAGTGATTAATGCATGCTCTTGAGATGTAAGACTAAGGAAAACAGAAGCACCTCTTGGTACAGAATTTTTGCTGTTCAGGCCACGTGTTCCAGCTGTGTAATTACACTAAATATCTGATGTTAACGTTATAATGATAAGCATATAGAAATAGACTCTGTGGCTCAAAGAGGAGATAACTTTAGCCTTGTAGTGATTACGCATTCCTTGCAAGCCTGAAGCTTCTCTGCCAAGTGGGAAGGACCACTTTTCCTGCTGTAAAACCTTTTCTTTGATATTAAAAAAAAAAAAAGTGTGTCTGTAAGAGGATGAATCTCTTCTGTGATTCTTTCTCTTTATGACGGATATTCATAGCTCATCTCTCAGCGCTGTGAGGGGGAGATGGGCTTACTTTCTCTGGGAGAGATCACAACACTGAAAATTCACACCAGACTACACCATTCCCTTTCTTATCTTTGAACACTTTGTCATTCTACCATGAAGTAAGTACATACGAGATAACCACAGAAGCAACTTGGATAATGAATCACTAAAGCAAACTCTAGTTGCTTCCTTGGCCATTTAAAACAATTCATTAACCTGAAAGAGGCTCACTGTGTATCCAGTGTTTCAGGTCCTGTAGCTGTAAGAACTGACCCTGCAGGGCAGTTATGCTAGTTGTTTGGCTCTTTGTGCCCTTTTATTGTGATCGGATGGGACATGCTTCTCTGCTGGCAACAGATGAGTTATCCCTAACAAAGCCCATAGGACTGTTAGGTCTGTTACAGAGAGACAAGTGAGAGTAGAAGAGCAGAGCCCTTGGATGTAGCCTTCTGTTACCTGTGGGAAATACAGTTCTACTAGTCTGAACACCGCAGAGTGCATGAACAAATCTTCAAGCAAAACAAATATCTTGCACTATGCAAATTAGTTATGTCAGCACATAGTCCTTACCGAACATCTTCAATGTCCAAGGTTTCACTAGCAAATTCAAGTATATCTGCTGCTGTTCCCACAAACATGAGCAGCAGCTGAGACAATTGATCCCGGGTGATTTCAACCCCAATGGGGAGAAGCCATCTCCCAACTACTAGCAGCAGTAGAAAAGTCTGGTGAAGGGCCAGTGTCCACACAGTCTCACAGATCGTGGAGAGCTGTTTCACAAAGACTTTAGCCTGTTTAAAAGACAACAACAATGACATACTGTAACTTCAGGAGACTGACATAGCTACCTTCAGAGATGGCATTCATCCTTGAGCCTGCTTTTGTCCTCTTTCGCATTGCATTAGAGCAAATCATTTCTATGTGGTAGGCATAATTTGAAAAAGGCCAGCTAATACAAACTTGGGTAATGAAGAGCAAGTTTTTCTCTGTGTACTGCTCCTCCTGTTCTCATTTTTCAGCTGAGCATTATCCTCTGCAGAACCATCACCCAGACACTTTCCAAAGTCAGTTACTGAGATTTGGAAGAGAATGGTAGAAGTCTCTTCACACAGACTTTTCCTACCAACAATAGTTAGTATGCAGCATTCTGTAGGCCACTTTTACAACATGGTTTTCAGAAACTCTGTTTTCTTAAATTTTACTCATTGTGTGAGGAGCTTGCCCAAACAGACACAACAGTCCCCTCTAATTGCTCTAACATTGTAAGATCTCTACTAGGAATAGGAAAAGGTGTCCCACCGTCTGAATGATGTGGTGATCTGTTCCCTCGCTTGCGTGACTGCTGTCTCTAGATTGATTGAAGTCTTGGTTGCTGACATTCACCTGAACTGCTCCGGGCTCATTGCCACAGTACTGTTGTGAACAAAAGCAGCACACCTGCATAAACATCCTGCACAGGGAGTAGACACGCTCTGGCTGAAAGACTCCTGTTTGGTTGAACTGCAGAGGGTTCATTTCTGAAAGTCAGTTGACGTTTACAAAGGTACATGCTCACTCTGAATGTAATTTCCCCCCTCCCCCCCCACCTTGTTCAGAAAGGAGGAATTCCTCTCATGAGGACAAGAGTGATGTGTTGGTAGGTCCCTGAGAAAATGTAGGATTGTACCCTAGAAGAGGAAGGAAATTCAAAGACCGACAGAGTCGGTGACACCTTTGTGCTGTTAAGATCATACTCTTTGAATGTGATCTGCATACAGCTCTCCTGAAAAGGCGACTGGGTTTCCTGCGCAGTCTCTCCCTGGCTAAAACAGTAAAATAGGGTAAAAATTGGTCATGGTCAGTCTCTATATTCCAACTTGCTCTCAAAATACTTGCTTCTTATCTCTACTATCCAGAAAAAGTTCTCTAAAAATATGATTGTTTCATTCTGTGAATAATGTGAGAGGTGAGATTCGGGAATAATTAAGAAAAATGAGCGTGCATTGTTGCCTAGCCCTGCAGAGTAGAAAAATGGGTATTTTTACTTTCTCCAGTCAGTGCTCCAGGAAATCGAATGTTGGCTAAACATACTGTTACTTCAACTGCAGTAAACCAGTGGTGGGACTGTGTTAAGAGTCCTGAGGTCTGCAGCACTGCACCGCCCTTCTACCTTCACCCCCAAGGCTGGCCATGGAGCAAGTGGTGTATGGGTCTAAAATCTATCTTCATAACAATACCTTAACATCTCCCTTCCTTATAATAAAAAGGGAATAATTAGAGAATCAAACTATGCTGTTATTAAAGACTTTTATCCTGTCCTATTTGTGCCAGAGAACACCAGATGATTTGCATTTCTCCATTGGGCCCCCCACCATTTTATTGCACCGGGAGTGATTTTCTGCAACAATTGGAATGTGTTCTAGTGCATACTGAGTAGCTGTGTTCAGCATAATGCCTGCCAATATGAAGGCAACATTTTCCAGCAAATGTCACATTCTAGCAAATTTCAGATTCCACTTTGATACTTTACTTGGTCTCTGATAATACTGCTCAGTATCTGGGTAAATGCTGCCTCTTGCCTGACCTTGTCATAGATAAATGGCGCAACTTCCCATGGTCTGAAAAATCTAGGGGGGGAAAAAAGTAGTCAGTGCTTGCTGCTTTTATAATTGGTGATGAAGGCTCTTGAGCTGAATGCTTGCCTTGTTTGGACAGTGGGTGTGAGAGCATGAAAGACTGACACACAGATGTGGGGAAAATGATATTTCCATTTGGAGGATGGAGGTCTAAAGTTCTGGGCATGGAAACAGTGAGATGGGGAGGCTGGTACTCTGCCTGGCTACGGCCTTGTGGGGCTGATATCCTTGGGTTAGCCCTTCAGCCGAAGGAGAGGGACAGAACTGCTTGTTCAGAGGACATTTCAGAAATGAAATTTAACTGGTGCTCTGGAGAAGCCTTTTTATCTGTTGCCTGTAGAAGAAGTCTAAACTCTATGGAGACCAGCCCCCAGGTCAAGGTCAGCCTTTCTGAGTAACCCGCACAGGCAGTGTGACACGGTAGGCTGAGGAGACCATGACCTAAAAATATTGCATAACTGGGGTAGCCACCCCAGAATATTAAGACGTAAGTATCTACCTTGTTACAAGTCGCCTGGGTAGGGCAAAGGGATTACTGACTTGTGCTGGGGGAGAAAGGTTAATTCACCTTGACAGCCTTTGGTTTGTCACTAAATCTGCGTTTGAGCCCACTCCTCTGCCCCCCTTGGCTGCTCTGCCAGGGGCAGGAGGAAGGGAACCACGAACTTGCATTAAAATTCACATCAGAGCTTGGGAAATTTTTGTCCATCTTTTAAAGCCTGTTGCTCAAGGAGGAATTTGCCAAATTTGAGGCAGGACCCATGAAGGGCAGCCTGCTGTGTTTGGTGTATGTGCAAGGACAGGGGAGATCCCTTCCCAAATGCTGTGAGAACTCCCAGCAAGTAAATCAGGTGGCTGAAGGACAGGAGAGAAACGGGAGCCTGCAGCAGTTGTACTGTGTGGGTAGCAAGGTGTATGGGCGCTGCTCAGCAGATGCTGTGGCTCTCCCTGTGCCAACAACAAGGAGCAGGTAGCTCCCCTGGCACCAGGGAGGTGGAGGAAAGCATTCCATGGCTTCCATGTGGCTTGCAAGGGGGCTTTCTTTTTTTTTTTTTCCCCCCCCTAGTGGCACAAAGGTGCAGTGAATACCTGAAGAAAATCAGTTTGCTTTATCACTGTCTCTTGCGGGTTTGTTATATGAAATTTTTGAAACTACTCTCAGCTGAGTGAGGGGTTACTATTTCAGCGTGAGGCTCCACAAACTCTGAGTGAGTGGCATCCCTCAGGGCTGGCTCCATAGCTCTTCTCAACTGCCTGCTGGCAGGAAATGGAAAACTACATCTGCAAAGCCAATCATTTAAGTAGCCTCCTGATTTTTAATTTAACTATGGTCATATCTTGTTTTGGTTTGTTTCTCTCTGAATATTTTAAATGGTGATTGTGGTGGTGATTCGCTTGAAAGTTTGGAGAAGAGCCTTTTATTTTCATCATGTATATGCAAGTAAATAGGACTGTTGGTGCCAGGCATATTTGCCTAGCCAATTATGTATAAGCAGTGACTTAGTGGGAATGTGACAAGGAAAAACTGAATACTAAGTTTCACAGGCAGTTAAAAACCATGGTTTACCTCTTTACTGCTAGAGCTCAGTTATTCCCAGGTATCAAGACTGCATGCATAGCTAAACAAAAATGCTTATTGTTTTTTTTTTTTACTGTGCAAAAGTAAAACAGGAAGAAATTGTATACATTTTGCATAAATTCTAGCTTGGTTTACTTCCTTTGTTTTTTTCCCTGAGATGAAGCTTACATTCCTTGGATTTATAAAACATCTAATCAAACAGAAACTATGTTGCATGACATAGCACCGTCCTAGTGCTGGCCTGCAGAGAGCTCCCTGTCCATGTGTGGGGAATCCCCTGAAACACTGAACTAATTCAGCAAACTTCTATTTGCATGCTATTGACAATCCGTTCTTCCCAAATAAAATCGATATGAGCTAAATTTTTTTGCAATGGGTCCGGCATTGAGATGGTAAAATTGACACTTGAATGCTAGGGCATCCCGTTAACGTGCGTGGAGGCTGGCAGCCTGCGTACGCTGTGGATGAGGCGAGCCCTTCCCTGGAGCGGGGCCTCTGCCAAGCAACAGGTACCCCGCTTGCTCTCTGCCATTCCAGCCTTTCTTGCTGGAAACAGTGTTGCCATTGCTATGGCAACACGTGTGATGTCAGAAATTCAAAGCAACCGTGACTGCTTCATTTTGCTCATACAGGAAAGCTGAAACGTAAAACAAGGAGTAAAGATTGCTTAAGCTGTTTTCCAAATTGAGGAAGGTAATGGTATGGGAGGGAAGAAACGTTGCAAGATGTAAGATCGCTTTTAGGAGAGTGATACACTAGAAGTTTAGCTGGTAAGAGAATCCCACCTCAGAATGGGGCTGAGGGAATGGGCAGCAATATTCACTATTCCCTTAAAATGTTCGAGTTAAGGTGGTTAAAAATAATTACAAGGTTTATCAAGTATCTATCTTTTTTCTGACTGGGAAGCCTACATTGACTACAGCGCTGGTAGGCAGGTAAGCCCTGCAAAAGGTGGTCAGTTATCGCTTTCTGTGGCAGTGACGCACCAGGCATTTCAAAAAGTAACCGAGGTATTTGTTTATCTGAGATCTTACACGTTACTGAGAATATATGTTTGGGGGTTTTAATGGATTAAATGGTTTTAATTTTATTGCCACTCTATTGCAGACAGCAATTTTTTCACTCGGTACAGTTCAATTTACTTTATAGTCTCTCCCAAACATGTATTTCATCCCCAAATATTTTACCGCAAAGCAGCACTTTCTACGCAGTCAGTATTTCACTGTTGATATATGAATGGTATTACTTATGTCCAGTTCTGCGGTACTCGGAGAGGCAGAGTTACCCCTGTCTCCAGGAGGAGAGACCGCATATTAGCACGTGCCTTACATAACAGCACCGACACAAGCAGTTGGTGTTTCCTGTTAAAGATCAAAGTTCTGCCGCCTTAAAGACCACAAACTGTTTTCATGGTGTATATATTAAATGTGTGGATCTAGTGACTGCATAATTACCCATTCTGTTAGTATTTTAATAAGGAAAATCCTAGCAATGCTTCAGTATGAGGAGTAGTACTAGTCTGGGTGCTGTGTTTGAGATGAATTGTTAGGAGGGCCGCTCCCCTTCTGGAGGTATAGTGTTTGAATCTATTAGATTGTGTGTTTCCAGAACTCTCCCTCCTATCTCTCCAGGTATAAACTAAGCTGTTAACTTGATATACTCCCTCTTTAATTCACAGTAGCAGTATATCAATAAGAACAAAGTATGCCATGTTCTAACATCATTTTGGGAAATAAACTGCTGCCTTTGACTACAGAATTAGCCTGTTTCTTGGACCAGATTTAACTATGACAAATGTTCTCAATATCCACATTACCTGTCTGTGACTGTTTAAGGAGATTGGCCAAAACAAGAAGACAATAAATTCCTGCTGCTGTATTTAGAAGAAGCCTCAGGCATTTTCAGTGTAAACACAATTTTGAATATTTGATTATGCTTCTGTGGGCTCTAACAATGTTTCAAAGGAGAAAATGAGGCACTATGTCTTCTTAGTCTAATTTATGTATTTTCTGCTGCAGCTTGTTGCTCTTGTTCCTATCAGTCCCTTTCCTGCTGTGGATATAAGGTACTGCATGTGTACAAATGCTGGGATAGGAAGAAAAAATCCCCTTTTCACTACGTGGAAGTGCTATGGGGACTCGAAAACAGCCTGCATAGGGAGGTGATTCACTCAGCGTGGGCTGCTGGGCTAAGTGGCTCTGTCCTGGCCCTGACTCCCTCTGCCAAAAGAACAATTGCCTTTAAAAAATTTACTATGTATTTTAGTCCTGAACTGGAATCCAGACACCCCACTCCCAGATTACTTTACAGCATGAACAAAGAAAGGATATAAATGCTCACAGACAAATTACCATGTTGGCTATCCGTGGTAGCAATCTGTGAGTGTTCTGCTAGGTTGCAGCAAACATGAGCTAATTTGAGTGTAAGACCCCCTTCACTGATACCTGTCTCAATTTTGGCTTGCTTGGAGTTGTGATATCTGGCTGTAAGTGCTGTGAAACTCACACTTTATTTACAAAGGCCTTTAAAGCAATGAAATTCTTTCACCATCCTGAGCAAGATTCAAGCTGGTAACCTGGGGGTGAAAGGCTGTTTTTCAAACTTCTGGTCCTTGGTTCCCTGGCCAAATACAAATAAATGGTCTCATTTTTATCTAGGAATGGGGTTCATTATTTGGTACTTAGGAAACACACAGTCATTGTAGTATAGCTGTAGCTGGATTGGGAGATCTACCAGTATAAAACAGAAAATTGGAACAAGACCTGGCAGACTCCTGTGTGCATGCCCAAATCCAACCCATCAAATAATGCATCAATTTCAAACTAGTCCATCTTGTCTCATAATAAATACCTGAGTCCCATGATGAATTTCTAGTAGCCATAGTGATGGTACTGTGCAAATCAGATATAAAAATATTGCTGGTGAAAACCTGTGAAGGAAAATAAAAGATAGCTTGGTATTATATCACATCATAAATACCACATAGCCCATCATTATCTGCATTGAAAAGTAGCTTCTGCCTCCTACCATATGGAATATTAAGAAATAGGGTAACTACAGATAAGAGTTACTATTCTTGCTGAATTCCTCATGCTGTCAGTATTATGAATCATATGTTTATTTGTACATCCATCTAAGATTGTATATGGAAGTTTATTTAAAATATCTTTTTGAGAACTAACCAAAGGCACTTTGCTGTTTGTATTTCCATCACAGCATTCTCTGTACTTAAAAAAAAAAAAAAAAAAAAAAAAAAGCCTCTAGCTAACATGTTCTTTCTGATTTCATGAAGGGTGAATTAATACATTGAGTCATTTCACTGAATGATGCTGGGATAAAGGCTGTTGATCAGATTCTTGCGCATTGACACAGGAAAAGTAGAAATAGCATCAGTTTGCCTAAAACAAGCATTTCCTCAACAGGAGGTCTTTCAGTGCAGGCTAAAATGGTTTATGAAAATGGGTCTTGGCCTTGTTTCCCCATTTATGCTGGCAATTGTATAATTCTTTAGGATTTCTGTCTCTAGTTCTTCTCTCCCTGTCAGTCTTCTATATAACTTCTGACGGTGAAGCTTTATTATCTTCAGCTGCTTGAGCTCAGCTTATTCAGAAGTACTGGAGAGGCTTCATTACTCCTGCAAGCACTGATTCTTGTGAGGGTTGCTGGTGTTTTCTCGTTAAACATGCAACAGTTTTGTTTGGGGTGGGGTTTTTTTGGCAATTCCTATACTTTTGGAGATGGGATGAGGTAGGTCTGCAATGCTGCTGAGATGCACAGCAGCCTTTGCATCCTATATATGTACTGGCCCAGGACAGGGCAGTGGAGTCAAACTCAGGATACTTGCTAGATTCCTTCTGTCCTGTCACCAGCACATTTTGCAGTGAATTTAAATGGCTTATAAGTATGTAACTGCAGCAACATTTTGGCCAAATCTTACTGCATTTATTGTTTGTTCCTATCCTGAATGTACCTTTATTTTTGTAATCGTGACTTTTCCAGTGGAGCTCAAGTATGAGGAAAAGAAGAAACCCTGCTGCTCAGGAAAATGACTGGCTATGAAGTGTTTCAGTCAATCCCCTCTAAATAAGATTGCCCTGGTTTGTGGGTCTTGTTTGTTTTGCAGGGGTGAGGGGATGATGTTTGTTTTGGCAATGGGGATTTTTAGTTGTTTTCTTTTTAAAAAAAAAAAAAAGGTGATTCCGATGGGTTTTAGCCTGGTTATTTTGGGAAAGAGCACACCTCTCATTTGAATGGGAGAACTAACATATTTTACAGTATTTCCTGTAGGACTTGAGCACATGAAAAATCCATCCAGCTGGCAGGTTAGCAATACTGAGCTAATGATATCAGATCAGGCCAGGAGACTTCAGGGGCTTTGACCCTGCCTTTCTTTCAGAAGAAGCAATCTAGAGGAAATACTACGTCGCCAGGCCCACAATAATACTACTTCTTCACACATGCTGCTTAAATTTTTTGTGCTTTGTCATAAGTAAGTCTTCTGTCAAGCAGAAATGGAGAGAATATGAGGCTCTTGGAGGCAGAGAGTCCTGTGGCACAGACTGCCTGTTGCCCGGATCAGTGAATTGTCCATGGAGTTGTTTCTATAAGTGCAGGTGATTCTGCCTGTTCTGAATGTGTTTTCCACCAGAGCAGAAAGTTATCCAGATACAAAGAGATGGTGGCCGTTTGTCTACAGTTCTTACCTATAAATGTACTTTACTGTGCTGCTTAAAGTGCTGGACCACATCCATTTTCAAAATTTCCTTCCAGTTAAATTTTGCCTAGTCTTCTAGCACATGTATTAATCTAAAATGGATCCGCTTTCTGTATCTATTTTTCTTTGGATTTTCCAAAAGCTGCCATAGCAAGCGTTCCTTCATAAAGTCTCTGCTGCTGCCTTCTCTCCCCAGCGAATCAGGTCTGCTCACTCTGCCCCTGTCTCATAACTATGCATCTGGAGCTCTGCTGCTGTTAAACTTTCCTGTGTCCCAGACTTTATTGCTGCTTTTACTACATTCAAATTTAGAGCATGGAACACTTGTGTGAATTGTCACACAACACTGCTTCTGTTATAAGGAGTTTCACAGGTTGCAATGGACAGGAATTTAACATCATTGAAATACTCTTGGGCTTTTTTTTGTCCTGGATTTGTCTCAGGGCCTGCCCACAGTTTTGAGTTGTTAAAAATAAAAGGTCCTAGTGAAATCTTGACAATTAGTTACATGACCACTTCTTTTTTACAGAGCATTTGTTTTGGCTGACTGAGCGCTGATGAGTTGTAGATGACCGCAGTAAAACCCCATGTGCTTGGGTAAACTCTGCTATGATTAACTTTTTTGTTTATTTCTCAGGCAGCCTTTTGTGCATGAAAGTTCCCCTCTGGAATAGCCTCTCAAATCCAAATATTTAAGCCACTCTAGCTGTATTGCAAGAGTGGTTGCCGCTCATTTGTCACTGAGTCTTGGTTCATGCACTGGCATGGTGTTAGCACTGTTGCAAGGAGCAGGGACAGGGAACGCGGTCCTGGGGAAGGAGGTGCAAACCAGGGCATGACAGGATGGGGTAAGAGATGCAGGGCAC